CGGGCTAACCTCTAAATCCTTCTGCCAGAACTCCTCGGAAAACAGCTTTGAATGGCTACTCTTTAGACTTTTATGGAAAGCTATGAGAACATAAAATTTTCATCTCATTCTGCACAGATGAAATAGAATTTCAATTGAAAGCTTTCATAAGTGTGAGGCACTATTTATTCCGCACAGGAAATTAACAGTATTTTCAGCAGTTGTAATACATATGCAGTCTGTTTATGTGTGTAGGGGATGTTAGAGAGAGTAAAAAAAATATCCATGTGTTTGTTTCTACTTGTATGTGTGTGTCGTGGCATCTGTTTACACTTGCCAGCGCAGATTACTCCCCACAAACACAACCCCCCCCCATGCACGCACACATATATACCCTTGCACTCAAAAGAAAAAGGAAGTCTGGATTATGTTGGCTCTGAGGGATGGACAGGCAAACCAAACTCATCTTGAAGCAATCGGGGACAGAGCACAGAACGAGAAGGAAAAGTTGCAGGAAGGGGCGAAGGGAGGGAGAGGAGGGGTGAAGAATCACCGCCCTAAGGGGAGCAGTCCAGCTGCAGTCTGTTGGTCTGTTGTCGTAATGCCCATTCACATACACACACGCACACACAAACACACTGAGACACAAACAAACCAGTGCCACGGTTGACCTAACCATGCCCGCCTCATTAGCTGCCAATCACTCTGCACAAGGCGGGCAGGAGGGGTAGAAAGCCAGAGAGATGGATGAGGAGATGGTAGTTAAGTTGCAGCCATCAATAATCAAGCTGCCTAAGCTCCTGTGTCCAATGGCATCTTAATACTGGACACGTAAAAACGCCATGAAAGTTGGCAAACAAGCCTTCTTCCTCCTCTCTTTATTCTGTCGCAAACTGAATTGGTCTGTTTTTGTGTTTTTAAGCAGGATTCCTCCATGCCTCTCCGGCTGGATAAAAAGACAGGCTGTGGGCAGGAGTTGGTTTGGTAGGCAGATCAGAATGCCCGACCACACTCGCACACACAGACACACACACACTGCAGAGGACGATTCCCAGAGGGGCAAAGACCACACATGCAGACACACACACACATATAGAGAGTAGACACATTCACAAGACACACAGAAACACCCTCAGCTGCATGTGGTGGCTTTCATAGTGCGTGTGTGTGTTCATAGTGCGAGCAAACACACATACAGTACCTACAGTATGTACCCATTCAAACACCATACACACTGACACAACTCAAATTCAGATTCACACACACACACACACACATGCACCCTCACACACTGACTGTGGCCCTAACAAGCAAGCCGACCAGCCTTTGAGCTGCCTGGAGCCTGACACTAGAGAGACAGCTTCTCACACACCAGGCAGGTTTCTAATTATTCCTGCTCACTACAAACACTTGTTTCTTTTTATTTAGAGTTGACCAGCTTGAGCTCTTTTTTTCCGACTAAAAAAAAAAAAAAGAAGAAGAAGAAGTAAGCCAGAGTCTGTAATGAGGCCGGGCCTCAATCCACCCGTCCCTGTGTTGTGGTCCATGGACACCAATCAGGACCTTATGAGAACAATGAGTTGTGCTCTTTGTTGGCTCTGCTGCACATGTAAGGGGTGGAGCATTTAAAGGAATACTTTATGTGTGTGTTTAAATTCCTCTTGTCCTCACCCCTCACCCCAAAAAACTCCTAGTAATTTTTTTTTCCTTCCTATTTTCTTCACTCCATTTGACGTTATTTGTCATGCCGTCTTACAGCACATGGGCCCTGGATAAACTTAAGAGAGGAGGGGGGTGCAGGGGTGATAATGCTGCCCCATTGCTATATTTTGCCATTGAGTAGACACATTCCTTATGACTCACACTGGATTTGAAGACGGCTTCTGTTCTCTTTGACCCACGCACCCCAATTTTTAAGACACCCCCACGTGCGTGCAGGATTTATGAGCCTGCATCACGAGGTGGTTCCTGAGCTAAACTAAATGTATGCTCATTGCTGCATCGATTTCCAGTGTATTTTTGTTTGTGCTGTCAAAAGACAAAGAAAACACTCAATGAAGTCCTCAAAGCAAAACCCTTGGCACTGACAACACAAACCACAGTCTAGGCAGACTGTGTGAATGTGTCCGTGCGTGCGTGTGTGTCTGTGTGAAGCGAAGATCACGGCTCAATGAAACGCCTTTCCTATACGAGACACAGATGCTGTCTGGGCTGGTTTAATGAAAGTGAACGTCTCGGGTTACGCCATTTGAGCAAGGGTGTGTGTGTGTATGTGTGCACGCCTATGTAGCACTGATGTTTTGAATGTCAATAGGAGGTAAAACTTGTGTTGAAAACCCCGCTGAATTAAGATAAGGATCACACAAAAGCCTGTCTCTCTCTTTTTACTTTCTCTTCTCCCCCTTCTATACTTGCTCTGAGCACAATGCGCCTGTTTGATGCCTGGCCTCGGTTTGAGAAGCATCACTCTTGCCTTCTCTGTTTTCACCCCTGTGACAAGCTATTTAGCAGGTGTGCGCTGGTCGCCGGGTTGTTCCTCTTGAGTATCCCTATTCGTTATCAGAATATTTGCAATGATTTCTCTTTGTCCGCTTACAAAGAGCCACTGTATTGTATCTTCCACAGAGGTTTTCTTGCAATGGCAAGATAAAGGCGAGTGTGTCCTCTAATCACTGGAGTTTGGAGTTGCACTACTTTGAATAACTTGTCTAAAAAAAAAACAGTGGCTATTTTCTGGAGGCGTAATTGGAGGATGTGAGAGGCAATCATGTTCCTTTTTCCTCCCCGGCCTCCTACACACGCTTGGAAAACAGCAGACAAAAATACAAATACAAAGGGCAGGATTAATGTCATTTGACAGTTTCTTATATATGATACCATCTAGCGTTCAGGTATCCGACTGGCTTTGAGTTTACACAGGTTGAACCTTCATTTCCTGGCTGCGTGTTTGCATGTCCAACAACCAAGTCTGACGTTTTAAAGAGTAAGAGAGGAAGACATTGTCGGAACAGCAGTCTGGGTAAAGCCCCAACGAGGCGTGGCGCACATAATTCACAGTGACACCAATAAGGGAACCTGAGAGCTGAAGTCCACAGATTCAAAACAAACCTGTGAGACCTAGATTGTGTTTCAATTCCTGACACAACTTTTTTGTATTCTGGGACTCAAGGGGGTGACAGTAAAAAAATAAAAAAAAATGGTGAAATGCAGTGCAATACATTCAATTTGCCACAAAATGCTGCAAAGTGATCTGCTGAAAAATTAAATTTGGACCTGAGGGCTTGCCATAGGGTACCGTTTGTGGCAACCAGCCTATGGGCCAGGCTGTGTGTGGTGTCCCTGCAGGATAGGAATGAACGTCGACAGGCTAAAAAGTGGTAATAAAGTTATTTTCAGGCTTGACAGCGTACGTAGTGAGGATTTGAGAAGGGGTCTCTGTGCTTGCAACTATCCCTTGACTAATCAGTTGAATTTTGGAAATAAATGATTGTTGCTGTAAATGTTGCGTGAAAGAGAAGCAGGGTTGTGTGTGTGTGTGTGTGTGTGTGTGTGTGTGTGTGTGTGTGTGTGTGTGTGTGTGTGTGTGTGTGTGTGTGTGTGTGTGTGTGTGTGTACGTACGCGCGTGGGATGTTAATTGATGAGAGTTATAGAGAGCTGCTAGTAGCACAGGGGGGATCATTACTGCTGGAGTGGAACAACTGCATTCACGGCTGTTTGCCATGTCTCATACACTTACACACAAACACAGACACACACACACACATACTGTCACAGTGCACCAGCAGTCAAAAGGAACACCATCATGTTGCTCTCTCTTGTACATCCTTTTGTCATATAGTAGCTACAACTGCTCAACCACACAAAAAGAGTCAGGTAATTATAACACCCTAATTCCACGATGACTCTTCTGACACCCACCAACTATGAAATGCCACTTTTCTCCAAATCAGAGACTTTTGGAAATCACAAGATTTATTTTGGGTTGTCATGATGGGGAAAAACAAACAATTATCCCACAGGCATTCCCCATCCTTGAGTCAATTTGTGGGAAAGGGTGGGGGGTGGGGTTGGGGGGGGGGGGGAAGGCGCGCAGCCACTTTGGGTTAAAGGATTTAGGTCACACTTTAACTGACTGGCTGACATCATAACGGTGAGACAGAAATCCCGGAATGGACTCTGAGCTCGAATCCATCTCCAGAATGACTGACACTTCAGAGACTGACACTGAGAAAATGAGGGGTGGGTGCCTTGCTAGTCAACCTGCCGTCCTGACCTATATTTTCCTCCCCTGCATGTGTGTGATTTCCTTTGTGTGAGCGCGAGTGGTCTTTGTCTTGTCTTATATGCAGCTTGGTATGCATGCATTTCTATTTGTACGCATGAGTGTGTATGAATGAACACATCCATGTAATTGTGCGTGCATGTTTGTGGCTGTGTACGTCCTTTTCATTTTACATAGTAAATGTGTCTGTTTGTGTTCAGAGGTGCATAAATACATACTTAAGACTGCGCGGGTGTTTGTGTGTGTTTCTGTGCACCAGGGACAAGAGTGTGTAAGCAAAATCAGTGTGTGTTTATGCTTTCTGTCAGCGCGGGGCAACGTCTCCTTCTCTCCTGCTGATGCCACATTACTTCAGTTTAGGTGCCGCTGTCACTTTAGCACCAGCATAGACAGGTGAGACTGTACAGACTGCAGCCTTCCTTTTTCTGACTGAGAAACACATACGCAGTTTCATGAATCATCCTCCCATAAATCTCCTACTGTTCTTTCATTATTTTCAATATGTTTTGAAATGGAAAACAAGTAAGAATTACTTTAAAAACCCTAACCCTATCCCAAATTAACAAATTAATCTGCCCCTTTAAGTGATGTTGTGATAACGCTTATTTTCTGCAATTAATTTAATTAAAAATTCAAAAATAACTAAAACAAAAAGTAGAAGAAATTATTAGGAAAAAAAGTGAGAAACACACACACACACACACACACACACACACACACACACACACGGAGTCGTACCTCCAGTAGCCAGGGTTTGAGTTTGCGGTCCAGGATGATGTCAAAGCCCAGGACCTCAAAGCAGACGCTGTCGCTCCCTGGTGGCTGGCCGGGGCGACACATGCGATAGGCGTGCAGCACGTGGGGTTCAGCCACTATCAACGTCTTCACCACCAGCTCCTGGCAGGACACATACACACACAAACACAAAGAGTGAGAGAATCACCAGGCTGAGCTGTCAAAGAGAGCACAAATCTTACTTTTTTTTGGTGCATTCATCCTAAAAAGCCATAGGCTGCCAGTTTTTATAGCCGCTGATTAACAGTCTACTTAAACTGAAAGGGTGCAATTAGGAGTCTTGCTTTAATTGCAGGTTGCAACTGCAGACAAATGCTTGAACCTTTAGATTCAGGACTAAACTTTGACAATGGAGCAATCATGACACATAGCAAACCTGTAGCCTACAGAGCTGCTTTAAAGAGGCAGGCCTACATCCAGTTCTCCTGTGTCTCAAGATACTCTGGCAGTTTAAAAGCCGAGGAGAAACAGAAAGTGTTGCTGGCACAGAACCTTTAAAATTTCACCCACACACAGACTTTCAGCGGTGTTGGTGGTGGTCCATCTGTGTGGCTAGTGACTCCCAACCTGTGTTCATGTGTGCACGTATGTTTGCTGGCTGCTACCTGCCCGCTTACTCCCACTGTGCAGCTGGGGTAAACATGCTCACACTGACACACACACAGCACAAAGCTTCCCCTCACCAGTCAAGCCCCACGCAGTGCTGCTGGCCTGCAGTTTGCCCAGTCCTGTCTGACTGCTGGGTGCAAGAGAGGGGTATGGTGGTCTGGCCCTGGCCTGATAAGGCGGCAGCCCCCCTCCCTCTTCAGTCTGTCTGTTGCTTGCATACCTCCATCCATCTGTCCATCCATCCACCCGTCTGACCCACAGGCTGCCCGGCACAAACACCTGCTCCCACTACTGCCGTTTATGCCCAAAGTCCCCGGTACTGGCTGGTGTGTGTGTGTGCATGTGTGTGTCTTTGTCCCTGCCCCCATCACCTCCCTCCTTATCCTGAGCCCCCAGCACTGGCCACTGACTAGCACTGTGCATGTGTGCCTGTGTTTGTTCGCTTTGGGCTTCAATGGTTTTATAAGCCTCTTTGAATTATTTTATCCTTTATTGTTTTCAATTCACCTGCATACATTTGTGTATTACTTAAGCTATTGTATTATGCATGTGTAATTTATTAATCTTATCTATGTTTTAACAGTTTGAATAGTGTCACTTCTCTTTCTGCATCAGTGCAATTGAGACTGCGATGTTTTTAAATGACTAAATTGCCTGACGTTTAAATGCAAGTTTAAATTTAAAGTTGACTGGAAATGCAAGGAAAAAAAACTATATTATAAGAGACTTTATAGACCGCTAATCACATTTTTCAATAACCAAATCATATTTTAAACGCCGTTGAAGAGTGGTACTTTGCACCATGCATTATGAACACTGCACAAAACTAGGGCTGCCCGGCATATGCGGTAGACAGTAGAAATGGTATAAATTTGGCCCACGGTAGATATTTGCGCTCTACCGTCCTATCGTCGATGACGTCATCGCACCTGCCTCAGTGTGAAAATGGCTGCGAGCACAGAGACAGCGGAGCAAGAGGAGCTGGTTCATGTCCGTGATTTAGCGTAGCACGTGCAACATGTGTTGCTGGAGAACTTGTGAGTGAGTGAGTTAATGTCTTATGAACAGCCCCGGACTTCTCAGACTCTTTTAGCGACTCACCACAAGTGTGTGTGGCTCAGACATACGTTCCACGTAAGAGTTCACCAGACAGTTGCAGGCTTGTACCAGTCACATGGATGTGGATGTGCATGCAGTTCCATCCATTGAGTGTAAGAGTGCGTGTGTGTGTGTGTGTGTGTGAAAAAGAGAGACAGAGAGCGTTTGATGATCAGAGCCGCTGGTTGGTCTCATATGCCTGTCTATATTCCTCCCGTTTTCTTCTCTGTATCGTCATCACAAGTTTAACCAACTAGTGTTTCTGTTGTCCACTGGCGAGGGTAGAAATGTTTAATTGACTAGTTGACTAATCGGGCTTCTCACTAGTCAAGACAGCAGGATGTCTGATATTAAAGCCATGGGCAGTATTACGTAAGTAAAATTTAAGGTAAAATTTAAGGTAAAACCTATTCGTCAAGCTAAATTAAATAAAAAACTGTTGAAAGGCATTAGCTGTTTGGAATAGGCATTTATGTGCAACAGTTTTTTGTCATTCACTAAAATGAGATATACTGTCAAAATACATTTATGCAGGAGAACTCATCAAAACGATTTTCTAAAACTGCATTTTAAATGCCTATTTATGTTCACTGTAGGATAAAGATAATCACTTTAAAGTGTCTTATAAAAGTGTAACCCTTATTATTTCTGATTGTCCACCAAATAGATACAACATGATCAGAAAAGGAGCATTAACATCACTCTAAAGTCCCATCCCAGTGGACAAAGTGTAGCTATTTACTTGTACTGACTACTACATGTTTACTCTGACGCACACACACACCATCTGCACTCCGCTTCCCCTCACCAGTCAAGCCCTATGCTGTATTGCTGGCCCGCAGTTTTCCCAGCCTGGTATGACTGCTGGGTGCAGGAGAGCAGTACGGTGGTCTAGCCGTGGCCTCGATAACTAGCCTATTTGTAGTCAGACACTGATCTCAAAATTACATCCACATAAAAAAGCTGCGGCTTTGCTGATCAAACCTTGGACACACTGCCCCACAAAGCACATCAATAATACCTCAGTATGAAAGAGATGCCAGTGAAACATGGAGAAAGAAAATAAAACACATACAAGATATTCTTAACCCCCACAGACAATCTTTTGCCAAACAAACTCTCTGACTCTCTGACCGTGACCATCGGTGGGAAGAGTCAGGGCAGCCTGCTTGGTCTGTACGGGAACAAAAATGTAAGAGGAGAGATGAAAAGAGAAGGAGAGAGGAGAGTGAGCGGAGAGCATAAATACAGAGTTGAAACAAAACACTGTGTGTGAGCGCGAAACGGAGAGCACTAACACCAAAGTGGGGCAACTTCTGAGGAAAGAGCAGAGACAAAAATGGTGAGAAGGCAAGAGGAGAGGCGGACGGTCTGGCTGAGTCAGAGGGTGACACTCTCTGGCGTGTCACCGAGGGACAAGAAAGATGAGAGAAAATGAAAACTGAAGTGAAGAAAAGTAAAAAAAAAAAAAAGAGAGAGAGAGAGAGAGAAAACTAGAACTTTAACGCCTTGACAAAATGGAGCACATAGAGATTTACACAAGATATATAAAAGAGGTGATTAAAGAAAGGGAAGCGAAAAAGTTAAAGCACTGACCACAACATCTACAACAGTATCAAAAGCCACTTTGTTCAACGTGAACATAAAGAAAAGTGAGAGCTGATAGAAAGAAGAAATAAAAGATTGCCTTGAGGAGAATATAATAACCAGTGGGATTTGATTTTGAGGTTGTAGCATGAGAACAGACAATGAAACGGAGAACAAGCACTGAGGGACCAGACAACCCCAAATGAGTATGGACAGAGGGACAAAAAGTCAAGGTCAAGAAGAATGAAACAGAAAAGAACAAAAAGGGAGTTACTAAAAGAGTAGTAACAGAAAGACAAAGGGGTGTATGATGGGATGGATTTGCGTAAGTTAAAAAGAGAATGATTGAGGAACAGGAGGTAAAGAAATCTCCCAAAAAGACTTTGATGAAAGAAAATGAACATGGTAAAGGTGTTTGGATGAGCTGAGAGTAGTGCCAGATACCGAGAGCTCACCCTCCAGGAATGGTGTTTTCACTGAGCTCTTCCTGGAATTAAACAAAGCTCGGAAGCTTTCTGAATTACTGTCATAACAAATCATATCAAACCTTTTGCCAGTCCGCTTGTGTTCTGTGTACAACGTGTGTTGGTTAGTAGCGAGAGCGTGTGTATATAAGAGTGTCCACTTACAGATTAAATTTACGGGTGCCTGCGTGTGCTGTTTGCATTTGTGGTGCGTTTTGTTATCATACCGCACATCCTTGCGTTTCGCGGAAATACACATCCGCCTTGATATGTCTGCATGTAGCTGTGTGTCTGTGTTTGTGCCCCACATACCGAGATGTCTCCCCAGAACTTGGCCACATCGTAGTCGTTGGTGCGGAGGAACTCGGTGAACCACCTGATGGACCTCTTGCTGCCTTTATCCACCGTCTCGTCTCGCTCAAAGTTCTCATTGTGTTTGTTGACTGAGTAGTTGGTCAGATGCATGTAGAGCTGGCTCTGTGGAGACAAAGGGGAATTGACACTAACATGTTAACACCTGTCTCTGGCTCATCATTTCTAGCTTCATTTAATTTGATAGTGCAGCAGCGACATGGGACAGCTCTTGCACAGGAACACAGATCGGAGAGAAGTAAGCTCGATTTTAAAGGCTGAATTTACTGACACTTGCACATTACTACCACTGTATAAATGACAAAACAAAAAAAAGCCTGGTCCTTGTCTTTAAGTTTGACAATACAGCATGCCTAATGACAATTTGGCCAGATATTGCTAAGTCATAGGTCCGTGGTGTACTTGTAAAACTAGTAAACATCTTCTTATAAGCTGTGACAACATTCAGTTTCAAATGTCATCGCAACAGCAGATCATATTTGCACCAGATGGCGTGTGTTGTTTGTCGTTGCATAAAAATTATTCTCTTCTTCTTTCTTCTGAATTCCTTTATTTACTGAGTTGATGAAGAAATTAAGCTCATTTTCATCTGCTTCCTGCTCCCAGTTAGATGCATTCATGGCTAAAAGTTGCTCAGTATAACAGCAATTTAATACTAATGGCTACAAATATTATAAGCAATAGAGGACACAGTAGAATGGTGCAGGAATGAGTCCCAATTTTGCACTTTTGGTTTCTCATCTTGAAGTCAATGGGTTTTTTGGATGGGTTTTTGGTTAGAAATTCCTAAAGTAAGGTCTGCAGTTAACACAAGTTTAACACACAGTTAACTTTCACATTTTGTTCCACGGCATAAAATACAGCAGTTAATACCCCACTTGTAAATTCTGAAGCTTTTACATGTCTTAAAAAAGACGCTTGCCAACAAGTAGCTATGTGAGACTACAGAGCGGTTTGAAAGAGGAGTAAAAGAAGCCATCTCCATCAAGCTGGAATGACCATCGTTAAACAGAGGTGGTGGCTTATGACACCACTTATCACCCACCTACAATGCAGTCTTGGGATCCCTCCCCAGACGACTTCACACCCATTCACCCCTGGTCCCACCTTCCCACCTGACCCTAATGACACACATGATGGCCAGGCGGGTCAACGACTCACATGTGACCTTAACGACTCTGCAAAAAAAGTTCACACCCACACAGGGTTTAAAGACTGCAACTCTGCACCAGTCATTTAGAACTGAAGAAGCTTCTTGGATGAGAGGTGAAACGTCTTCAAGAAACGCAAGCAAGCCCAGTTGCCTACGATATATAGCACTTATGATTACCATGACCTGGTTGACTGAGCATCTTCACCAACTATACATCGCCCAGTGTAGCTCATATATAACATTAGCTTTTCACTTCTGGCGATCTTGCTGTACGAAATGTGAAAGAATCATATCCTTTCTCTTCCGACAGAGCTTATTTTCTAGAATAATCCAAACTTCACTGGAGAAATCCTATTGGCTTTTCGTTAAGAAGACCAGGGTGACACCAGTTTCCATTTCGGCCTACAAATAAACGTCCTCTCTGTGGCGCTCTATGAAACTTTATCTTAATACATGGAGTATATACTGTACTGTATATTGTACTTAAAAAGCTGCGGTACCTTTGCCAGCGCTCTTTAGTGTAATTATACCTTTGTCAGTGATGATAATCATCACAGCAAACAACATCCTCAAGGGTGTTAATGCTTTTATCCCCACAATGCACATAGCCATGTTGTATTGTAAAACATGTTCTCCTAAGTGATATGAAACAAGAATAAAGGAAAAAGCAAAAACATTACAAAGTCGTCCCCTGGCAACAACTAAAGATGGTAAGAAATGGTGCAGCAAGAAAAGAACAGCTCGCTGTGCAATACAGGAATTATCAATGCTCTTTCTAAAAATGGTTCTTATGCTCTTATGGGATTGGCAGATAATGAGTGCAACAGCAGAACAAGCTTACCATCATAGATCACCAAAATCTCAAGCAATCAGTGATTAGAGGAGTCGGAGCTGAAGTGCCCCAGAGTTCCAACAGAGCGTGGCTAAAATGCGTCACTGAGTGGCTGATTATAACTAGCCATTGTGTAACCCCTTGTAGTCTTCCTCTCTTTAAACACTATCCCTCACAGTTGAAGACAATACATCCTTGTCCTTAGCCTACGAGGCAATAACGCTGTGACCGGAGGCCACTCCAGCCCATGATGGCTGTCTGGGATCCACTCTCTGTGGGATTGAACATCCATCTCCATGGCACGACTCACTCCATCATGTGTCACAGACTGGGCAAGACAATACACATTTGTGTCACAGGAGGGGTCCGGCGTGTCTGTGTGAGCGTGTGTTCATATTGTAGATAAGCATCATGCTTGATAGGAAGCTGTGCGTGTGTGTGTGTGTGTGTGTGTGTGTGTGTGTGTGTGTGTGTGTGTGTGTGTGCATCCCGTCAGCAACAGACTGTGCTTCAGCAGGTGCAGAACCTCAAGGCAAATATGAGCGGCTTGATATTACAGGAGACATCTGGCATGTGGACATTTACGCTCAGCTGTGTGCATACAGTATGCCTGCCCATTCTGTGTGTTCACATGCGTCTGTGTGTGTGTGTGTGTGTGTGTGTGTGTGTGTGTGTGTGTGTGAACAATATCAGCCCTACAGTTGTCTGCATTCGGGCACTGTTGACTGTGTATATGAGTACAATATATGCATATTTTTGTGATCCTGAAGAGATTACACTTTGTTTCCCGACCTCTGTCCTCCTTCTTGTTTGTGTGTCTAATTTGATTATGTCGAGTTGCACAAGCCCGTGGCTCCGGTGTGCAGGGCAAATACACTGCTCTGCTTTCTTCTATCTGTCTGTTGTACATTTCTGACTCGCCTGATTGGCCACACACTTGGTACTGAATGTACTTTCTAATATAAATCCATGAACAGTTGTGTATATGTCTGCAACTCATCAAACTGGCCCTGTGCACAGATGGTGCACAAATAAAGATGCATGTCCTGTTCTAAGGTACAAGGTATGCGTCTATGACCATGTGTGCACTTTCAAGTCTATGTGAAGCTTCCGTAGAGCACTTTGTATCTTTACTTTGAAAATCCTACACAAATACATGTCCTTATCTTTATTATTAGTCGTATTATTGTCTGTGACTCACCAGGTTGGCCTCACTGGGTGCGTGGTACTTCTCGGTGCCCATGCGAACCAGGCCGTCGTTGTAGAGAAAAATGCGAAGCGGATCGCAGGAAGTGACAAGGATGTAGATGCGCAGGTCAAACTTGTAGCCCTCCATCAGGAAGGGCTTGTCCAGGTACTCCTGAACGATAAAGTGCTCCTGGGCTGGCAGCTTCTCACAGTTACGGATAAGCGAAATCCTGGATAGACAGAAACTTTATTAATCCTTGGGGGGGAAATTGGGGTGTCGTCAGCAGCATAATAAAATATGGCATAGTAAAGACAAAAAAGATAATTAAAAAAATGATAGATGGCAGCATAGCGGGGACCGTGAACATGACTGATGACATTGGCACTGTCTTACATACTGTATCTGTTGGAGGGGTGGGACTGAGCCAAACAGTATACATATTTTAATGAGGTTCAACACTGTATTTCATTTCAATTCATCAGGACATGTTGGGGACGTATTGCTGGGGTGCCACATCTGCCTGTTATAGTGATACTTTCAATCTTCACATCCCAAGAGGAACTTTGCTCTGCCTCTGCTTTCCAAAGCAATGATAGTAAGTATAATGGTCTACAGAAGCAATAGATGCAGTTAGAGGGTAAAGATATGTCCTAACTTTGCACGCAATGGTTCTTATATTTACACTGAAGACATTTAGCCCTTAGGAGTGAAAGGTTCAGAGCCATTGTGCTCTGATGGTATTCATGTGACCTTCCATTGCTACAGAACCTTCACTGAAAACATCTGTAAATGAGTGCGCTCAGCATACCTCAGGTCTAGTTTGAGCAGGACAAGCTGTTTGGCTCTGAGGGGCATTGAGCGTTCCAAAACTTTTGTTGCTCCCTTCATTACCTGGCCATCTAAATAATACAGTTGAAAAATAAATGTACAAAAAACAGACAGGTACAACATGAATGCTGGTTTGTCTGAGAAATGCTCCGCCAGCATCTGGAGAACATTGTGATTTTCTGAAGCCAAACTCCACTCTGCTTACTCTGAATGGCACAGTGCATCAAATGCTGTAGCACGGGTCTTTGGGCAGGTTAATAGGAGCAGACACTGTGCTCCGTCTCAACCTCCACCCTCCTTCGTTTGCTTTGGTCTCATGTCACTGGCACTCAGGCCTTATAGTACGCAGGCCATTGCTAGCTGGACTCAAGAATGAGCTGTGTTAGTTTGTGTGCATCCATGTGGCCGTGCACGCGAGGGTGAGGGGCAGTATTTTCCAAACTTTGTGAAATGTCTGTGTGTGTATGGGTGTATGCATGTGTGCAGGGTGGGGTTTAGGGTTCACTTCTAAACAATCTCCCACTATGTACAAGCATCGCGATTGACCTATATCACCATCACTCATAGTTAAGGCAGACTTGGCCTAAATTGGTTACATGCACAGCCTGGAAGGCTCCATTATACACATGCAAGCAGGCGCACCACACACACAAACACAATTTTTGGCCAAGATGTAAAGACTTGATTGTTCAAAAAGTACAGTTTGAGGTATTAAGATATTGTGGCACTGAGCCACCAGAGGGCAAACATTGTTCTGCTCTGTAATCACAGCCAGAACATACAGTATCCTGGGAACAGTGCGGCCTGTGTTGTTGTAATTTGACCAAAGAATTCACCTGTGCAGTTAACTTTGATGAAGCAGAAACACTGGAGCATTGCTGATGAGTTTCTAAGTGTGAATCTAGGCTGGGATCAGGTAATGCCTTTCAGGTGATGATGAAATGAGATCTTAGTTCAGCAGTCCTCCCTTCAGGGGTGTGATAAAACTCTCCCAGCTTTTAGATATGCATTGGTGCGATGTTGTTGTTACTTTCAGGTTTATCAATCACAACTTGCTTCTGCCAACTAAAACAGTGGCGTACTGTGGACGTGCGCTTCATTGGCCTGCTTATCACAGTGCTTGAACAGAGAAGAAGTTGATGGCAGGCTGACCGATGATGTGAAGGGCCCTCCTAACAGGCAGACAGCAAGCTGAATGATGAGGACAGGGTTAACGGTGTTAGTTAGTCAAGGAGGAGTAGCTGAGGAGAAGACGACATGATTGATGAGCTGGGGTGTCAGATAATCACGGCCCACTCTCCCCTGCCTATTTAATTTGGCACCGGAGGGGATCTCGCCTTTTTAAGCCCTGCACGCACTTTTATTTTGTTTCCCTTATAACAAGCTGCGCTTCAGACACAAACAGTAACTTCATTTAGTCGGCCGACGGAAAAATAAATTACAGGGGGTAGATATAACTTAATTTCCTGCCGCGTCACACCATGCAAAAAAAAATAGAGAAAAATCTAATCTTGTGAGCCGCCCGCCGTTGAGTGGTCGAGCTAAACTCATCATCTTTCATATTCTTAATGTATTGCAATAATTCAGCCTTTGCTGCCTTTTATTCTTTAATAAATAAGGGCTTAGTGCAGCATGGAGTTATAAGTAATGCTCACATTATACCAGAAAGGACAAATTCAAAGAGAATTAGAGGGAGAGGTGAAGCATGCTGAGCTATTTGTACTTCAATATCCCCACCTATTGGTGCCACTGATGAATGCACTCCAAAGTATTTCTTCACACAGGTATTTCAGGGAGCACATTTTCAAAGAATAATACGTCAGAAACAATACTTGGTAAATGTTTCTCGATCTGTGCAGTTTCAGCATACTCTCAAGTGTTCGTAATTCTTGTTTTAGCATTACTACACAGGCAGCCGAATGAGCTGCATGTGCCTCTGATTCTGTGTGAAAGAATAAGGCCGTGTAACAAAGACATGTATTGAGATCGACGTGGGATTTAGCCATCAACTCTCGGTTCCCAGTAAACATGCACAGTAAACATAGACAGCCTAGACAAAGGTCTGGAGGTACAGATGAAATACTCTGCTAAGTGTGAGAACTAAGGATGCTATAATGCACGAGTACCTGTACAAGTAGTGGCAACTTAACTTCTTTTCTGAATCTCTTGGCTGACCAGCTTGGGGATCTGTTTGCATATGTCACCCTAAATATTGGAATAAAACTCTAATTTCTCGAAACAGAAATTTGCTCTTTATAAATTAAGCTCTAAACCGCCACCACATCTGTCTTTAAATTTACATTTCATTTTACAAAACAGAACTATTTGCTAAACCAACCACACTTGAACCTTTGACTTTGAAACCACTTGGCATTTCCACTTCTCTTGGTAATGCAGGCCTGACCTCCACACAGGTCAAATCATAGCTCAATAAAATTCTGTTTGAGTGCCAGATAAGTTGGTTATGGCCCACACATGTAACACTGGAATCAGTTACTGTCTTAATTTTGGAGGCAATTCAGAATACTTGTGTTGCCGACCACTTCTGCTGCATCCATCAATTTTGTTTTTGAGTCACTTATCCTTGTCAGTGTTGTGTGGTGGCAAAAGATTGAGCAGAGCCCAAACGTCCCTTTCCACAGGGAGTTTCCGAATTCTCATCAGCAGATCTCCTCAGTGGTACCTGGAACTCCTCCAAAACCCGGAGAGCTTTCGTATGAGACGACCAAACCAGCTCAACAGGGTCCTCTCAAAGCAAAGAGCAACACCACCACTGCGTCATCAATGTTGTGTTGACTGCTGACATTTTACATTTGACTGCTTTAAGGTGTACAGGTGTACCTAATAAATTTGTCAATGTACGAGTAAAATTTCATGTCACCACACCTCTTTACTGATTCTCTAAGTACCTCATGATTTCAGCTGTCAGGATAGTGAAAACATACCACAGAAATGTGACATCACAACCCCGAGAAAGGCGCTCACCCCATCGGACTGCAGGCATGAAATATGCATTCAGGTACCACAGCCTGTTCATCTTTTGATAAAGAGATGTTATTGTGAGACAGAGTCCCCTGCAGCAGCCATCTTGGTCTATTTTCTAGTCTGACTGGTCTCCGCTGATGGTGCCTCATAAAGATATCCAATAATCACATGCAGAGACCTTCAGGGAAGGAACTACAGTAACTGCCAGGGACTGCGTGTGTGTGTGTGGTGTGTGAGAGTGTGTGTGTCCTCCACTGGCAGCGATAACCTCTGATTTATGGAGAGTGTGACCATCGAGGACAATGAGGCCAACAATGAGATTCACCACACCCTCTCAGCTCAAATACTCAATCTGGTCCCAACCATAATGCCATTTCCATAGACGCCAATGTCAGGGTCACAAACCTCCTATTACCTTGTTTTGTTGTGCTTGTCCTCTATTTGCTCTACTGCTAATTTCCTCCTCCACTGACTCACTATCTTGCTCTCTATCCTCCACTTCAGTCACTCTCGCCTTCTCTGTCATGGCCCGGATCCGTCTGTCAGTCTTATAGTTAGTGTGTTAGACTTGTTCTGGGGCACTCGTTGCCCTCTGACCTACCCGTGACCCATGGCTCCGTTGGCAGGTTTGACGATAAAGGTCTTCTGCTTGCGTTTCCTGCGTAGCTCCTTGACATAGTTCTGGAACTGAGTGTACTCAGCGGGGAAGATCCAGGTTTTGGGTATGAAGCTGTACTCTTGAGGCTGGCACTTGATCATTCTGGAGAAACAGAGAAAGGGCGTGTGTGGGAGCAGAGCGACATTTTATACTTTTAGAAACATCTGGAGTCTTGTATTTGTGTTTTTTAAAATGACAAGTTTTTACACATTTTGCATTTTAACAGTAAAGTTGAATTTTGTGCCTTTACAGCAGTGTCTCCTACTTATTTGGCTTGTAATGGCGGCGTGTTACACGTACCCAGTTGTGACTTCTGAGGGTGCCATCTGGCTAAACACTGAGTTTTGAAATGCTGTTGTTTTTGCACATCTGCAACTGAACCAAAGTACTCTCAATTGAAAACTTACTTGGACATATTTCTTGCTAGGCAGTCTTTCCGGCAGATTTCGCCCATGCCAGGGAAATGGTTAATTCTCTGCAGAGGGACAGGCAGACATAATAATGTTGTTAGGGCCATTACGCCACTCAATTCCACCCCCACCCCTTCATAAAAATGAGCACATTAAAGGCAGCAACCTGAAGTGAGCTTACAATGTTCTGACATTTATGCCCAATTACGGACTCAAAACAAAAAGGTGACGCTGAGACCTTTCTCAACCCTTATTTAGTTTTCCGTGTTTTTTTTTATACTTTAAAGGTTGGGGAGGGAAGAGGCGAGAGAAAAAAAAAAACGATCAATCTCAACTCCGAGGGGCCGAGGTAATTGGTTCTGCATCGCAAGCTCCTGCAGTGACAGTTGAATGAATTGCTTTGAATGCGCCGAAAGGGGGGTGGGGGGTAAAGGAAAAACTCTGGGTTTTCTGTATTCTTTGACCAAATGAGCCTGAACAGGGGCGTTAATTAGGCTCGTATGAACTGAAACTTGACAGCAAACTCTCACAGTACATCACCAAACGGAAAAAAGGGAAGAATTAAAAGAGGGAGAGAGAGAGAAAGCAGAGGGAGAAAAAAAAACAAGAACGCAGAGTGTAAAAGGATCCCGTGATTATTATCCAAACGAGACAGACGTAATTAGGGATTCGGAAGAGATTGCACAATTATGCCAATGCCACGAGACGACGTGGCTTGTGAGGGGAAATCAAAACCAATTGTTGAGGGACTTCTACTTTTCTACTGAGAAATTATCTCATGAAACACCACAGCGGCGCGAGACAGCAAGTGAAAACAATTGACAGCAAATCACCCGTTCTATGAGAAAACATTAGCCACATTGCTACACGTTAAGCTGTTACAGTATTTGTAATATTCAATCTACTCAGCCGAACTCTTGCCGCCCCTGTCCTAACAAGCCATACTCTTTCTAGCCTGTGATTTAATCGATCATTAGTGCCCAGTCTAATCAAATGAGCACTCGGGAAGATGGATGGCTAACGCTCGCAGCTGAGGGGGAGCAGCGGCAGCAGCAAGTTCAGTCAGCGGGACAGGGGGGTCAAACAGAGGTAAGATCACTTTCAGACTAGTACACAGAACAGAGAGCAACCTTCGTTGTTTAGGTCTGTCTTGTCAACATCACCGGTGACATCTGAACCTGCCCCCCCACCCCTGCTGCTCACTACTTGTCAGTCTACCTGTCAGTCCTCATATCTGTCTCCGTGTAAGCTCTGTTGTTCCCTTTCCAGCCCTCATTCCTATTTGCTGTCTCTTTTACCTCTCAGGGTCGGAGGGAAAGCAGGTGGACACATTCAGAATCCTCCATTCATCGTCACATTTCTAATTCCTTCTGTTATTTATTGTTTAATTGTAATTTATGTCCATAAGTCCTTTTTAATTGCTTGGTTTTTCTTCATTTTACTCTTAATTTGTTATTTTGCAATATGCACTGTGCACTCGGAGGGCTCTGTAATTTCATTGCCTTGAACAATTAAACCTACCTACCTATCTTTATTCTATTTCATGTCATTCTGACATTTACTATAACTTCTGTAAGCCTGACAAGGGATCTTTCTTTTTCCTATTTTTCCCTTTACCAAGTAGAAAAATGTACTGGAAGGCAGGATGGTGTACAAACACCCATTTTTTTCACAGCAGAACTCCACATTTTGTTTTAATTATTCGTATTAGCCAGCAGTGTACATGAGACCTTACTGTCTTCACCTGTAATGTGTGTTGTTACATCAGCACTGCATATGCTAGCAAGTAAAATGGCTGTATTAAAAAATCTAAGGTTTAACTGCTTTTCTCTCAATGCAATTTGAGCTGTGACAATAAATGAGATGTATCTTTTGTTACAGTTCAGATTTCATCACATTTTGGTGCAAAATATTCAAAGGTTTGGGAGAAGGCCTTGCATCAAACTGGTTTAGTGGTTTGTTCTCTCTGCAAACGTGTGAAAAAACTTATCAAGAAATGCTTTGTGCTGTAATAGGTTAGAAGAATCTGCAGAAAATCGTGTCATGTTTATTCAACTCCAACCAAAGGAGTTTTTGAAGTGAGGGATTTGGTTTTTCTTACAGGAAAGTAATTTTGAAATTCTCACAGGCGGGTTACAGTTGCTGTCATCTTTGTTTCATCCTTTTTATCCTTTACTTTTTGGTGCACTGCACTGTTTCATTTCAGAGTCTTTGCTCCTTTTATCTTAAGGAATCTTTGGGAAAAATCCGTCTTCACCTCCAGTGATCAGAGGCAGGTTTTTTTGTTTTTCTTGGTTTACCGATAAAGTCAGCTGAACATCTTCTTTAGAACTGCTGCTCCAGACTTTACAAAGTTACATACATCCACTGGGAGCTGATCAGTATCTCGGTCTTTGGCTGCTGGCCACTGAGCAGCTTTACTGGAGCATACTGTAAAGGTTAAGATCGAGTTTTTCTTTTTTCCTGTTCAGTACAGCAATTGGATCTGACACTCTTATTCCTAAGCTCTCCTCTCTAACCTCTAGGCTACGGTGCCCCTGAGCAAGGCGTGCTGACTTGACATGGTAGCCATGCGGTGTACCTGATAATTCCTGAGCTCAGCGATTTTCTCGTGCTGCACGGCCGAGTCATTCCAGATGAGGTTGGCAGTCTCGTCATCTTCCCGGGTCTTGATGAAGTCCACCTCGCTGATGACTATACGAACTGTGGGAAAACACTCACATTAGATTCCATTCAGAGTTTGCCGCACAGTCATTTAAATAAACTTTATATTCATGATCACAAAGTTACTTGTGAGAACAAGATGTGACCGCAAATCAAATATTTCTACACTACAGATCAATGTTTCACTCAAACATTTTGCTAGGCTTAAATTCTGTTTCTGCAGACATTATATGAGAAATGAGTCTGTGAGATTATAGATCATAAAGCTCACAGCAATATTTACCATTCATGGAATGGTTGCAGAGCAGCCAATCGTAATGCCCCTCTTCAAAAAGATAAATTAATTGTCTGTAATGCATTCAAATCCCACTGGAAACCCCATAGTATGAGAGATAGGAGGCAAGCCCATTTGGATATTAATCCGACAACTATTCATTATTCAGTGAGTAATGAAAAATTCATACGCCCTAACGAAACGTGGTATTAATTAATTTCTTGAAAGCCTTGACAAACCTGGAGAAGGCTTGCCTAATGTTGCATGATGGCACTTGAATGGGGAAAAAGGTGTTTCCGATGTAACTTCATCCATCTGTTAACGTCGCTGGATGCTAACAGTGTTTTGCTAACTGAAATAGGAAGGGGTTTACATCACAGCAGGCCTATGCTTACAGTTACCAGTCGGGTGTTTGAGTGCAAAGCTATAATCAATCTTGTCCTACCTATCTCATGAAACAGACATCCTTAGGGCCAGAGTGTACATTCCCTTCTCGGTGGGTGCAAAGCAAATTTCCAACACCATCTTCCCTGACCTTTAACCTCTACCTGTAATACAATCAATCCTGGAACAAAAAAAGACAGCTGCGAAAAAGGTAACAGCAAAAATGAGCCATCCATCTGGCCCTTAGTGTTAATTTTCCTTCACAATAGCCCCGCACTGCTCTCAGAATGGCCACTGAGAGGGTCTCGTCACAGCAAGCAAACTGACTCACAGCTAGACTCCCATCTTCCTACAGGATCCGGGCAGCCCCCAACTTCTACTTGCTGCTGCTGACTCCTTAGTTTCATAGGTTGTAGTTCACCCCTGAGAGCTGTGCTGCCACACTGGCATATACTGACCATGTGAGGAGTGCTTACTATGCTTCTGTTTGCCCTTCTCAAAAAAAAAAAAAAAAACTCACTGCCAAGTTAAATTACCTCAATAAAGATTTATGTATGTATGTAAGGCCGAGCGGTCTCTGTGTGAACTGTTGCTGGACCGCAACTCTGTTAGGTTTAATTTAAGACATTAAATAACAACGGCCTCCCTCACACAATCCACCACAGCAAATTAGATTTTATTGTTGGGAGTAAAATCTACAGTGTATTGTTTTATTGTTGAGACAACATTGTGATTAGATTTGCCGTGTTTTGAGGGACTGACTGAGCCATACTGAGAGCTGTTTCTAAAATTAATATATACAATTCAATGTGTCACAGTTAATTAATCTTACCTGCAGGACCACCCAAAATGTTGGTCTTGCCCAGTCAGGAATTTTTCATGAAAAAAAAAAAAAACTAAATATAAATTTAGATGCTTGAAATCTGAGGCTCTGTAGTTTTGTAAACACAATGTAGTTTGATCTGAGTAAACTTAAGCAAACTTTAACTGCTACATTTAGCATGCTGGCTCATCAGGCTAGTGCAGTGTTTCCCATACATTGATTTATTTGTGGCAGCTACCACAATATCAACACTGACCGCCACATATTGGTTTTCTTTTATTTTCTTTTTACTGTTTAAAACTGATAAAATCTTATTTCATTGTAGAGCTGTGTACAAAGCATTAATTCACTCAGCCCCTCTTCACTCTGTCTCTCTGTTTCTCTGTTTATCAGATCACAATGAGAAAAGACTTAGCGAGCTGGTGCAGCTGGCAGTCCCTCCGCCTCACTCTCCTTCGCTAGGACACTATTTGCCAAGAGGAGAGCGTGGGCAGAAGCTCCAGAGACGGATCTTCAGCAGCAGCTATAGCAGGGGGTCACAGTGGGCTGGGTGTAACCCGTGTAACAACAGCAACAGAAAGTTTGCTGATCCTGAAGGAGTTTGCTGTGGCTGGATGAACTGGAGTTGCTACAGCAGCTACTAAAGGTCTGTGTCCTCGGACCGACACAATTTTTCTGCTTTCTTGCTTCGGCTTTGTTTTACTTGAAACCACTGTGTTTCCATCAAACACTTTCGGTATGGTACTTTTGGAGCCCGAGGTACCCTTCAGACATGGTACCTAGACCCTAGTGTTTCCACCGCAAACAGTACTCTTTCATGTGGGCGAGGTTGTTGTCACTCACTGCTTCGTCCACCATTCACTGTACTTCATCATTGCCAGTGACACAGAGAGAAGTCTGCATCTCTTTTATCGTCCACAGAAGTGGGTTACATGCCAACATTTTTCTGAACAGAATTATACAGGCTGCGGTGAGAGTCTCTCTCCATGGGATATTTAAAAATAGTGGGTTTGTGCATTTAGTCCTTCTCAGGCAAGCTCGGGGATTTAGTGTTGCTGTAGCCCACAGGAAAGACGCTCCACCATGCTTGTTTTTCCTCCAATTGAGGATTAGAATTTATGCAGTTCACATACCCCAATCTAAATTAATATATAAACGCACAAAGATCCACTCATTACTGAAAGTGTATGTCATATAACAACTAAAGTGATGGTCAAAGTTGTCAGTGAAATTTAAGGTGTGTTGATTGATTCATGTCATCACCTCATGCATTGAGTTACATTACAAGTTCACGTTCCACCTTAAAAGTTGCCGGCAGTCGGCTGAGTGAATTAGGTTTTTTTTTTTTTCAGACTCCAGCTGCTGCAAGAGGCAGCAAAACATCCTTTCATTTTATAGTTACAGTTTATTAATAAAACTCTCCACAGTATGAACAGTGGTCACATGAGCCTCAAAACCAGCCACAGCTCAGCCCTGAGCAGAGTGACCGTTGTTATTGACCAATCAACACACTGCAGTGTTCACAGCTCCACCTTTGAGTACCAGATCTGTGTGCTAGGTACCCCAACAGAGGGGGGACCAAAATGGGGACGGTACGGAACAGTTCCATTGGTGCCATCCACAACTTTTTACAGTGGAAATGGGAAAAAAGCGTAACGAACTGCACCATACTGCACGGTGGAAGCTGGGCTTTATAGATTACCAAAATAAAAGCAGCAACTTTCCTTCTACGCTCACATTTGGATTATATCAATTCAGGCATTAAAGTTACAGTTGGTAACTTTTATGAAAATAACTTTTTGTCATATTTGCTGAAACTGTCACTTTATTCTGAAAGAAGTCCATGGGACAGATAGTCTGTGAAAAATACGTGTCCCTCTTCCTCTTCCTGCTGCTTCTAATGCTATTTGATAGACTCTTCAGCAGCACACCAAAAAGACAGTGCAAAAGGAGTCTCTAACAGTAAACTGCAGTCAAACTGTCACGCTAGGCAGCGCTGATTCTGTTACTGAAAGTGTTTCCAGAAACATATTTTAGTGTACTGTTTAGCTGTGGAATGAGATAGCTGGTCCGGCCAGTCACAAGCTTTCACATTTTACACCTACTGCAGTTTGACCGCAGTTCACAAGCTGTGAATGACATGATTGACAGCTGCGTGAGAGAGTCCTCGGCTCTGATTGGTTGTCTTCGTTTAGGTGCAGTAAGGCCACAGATTATCTGTCTCATTTAGTGCTGTATGTTTATAGAAACAGTTTCAAAAGACACGAGAAAAGGGGTTTATTTTTTTTATAAAAGTTACCAACTACAGCTTTAAAAAATTGATTTAAAAATCTTTAAAAAAAAAAATAGTGTCGTATATCCAGACCTATCTCCACATTTTGTTCCAGTGCTGTGCCAGTGCTGGAGATGGTCTGGCTGTACTCAGCACTTGAGCACTCAGGGAAAAAGATGCTCTGGGTATTTGTGTTTCTTTAAATCAGTCACAATTGTCTTGGGCAGCGCTAAGCCCAGGATGCAGCGATGGTGCCCTTGCAAAATGATAACCCAAAGGGGAGATGAATTCCATCTGGAATAGGCGGCCAATGGCAGGCTTGTATGCACAGTCTGCATCCTGTGAGTCAGACTATAAGTTCATCCAACGTGTCTATGTAAGTAATGGCCTGAATAAAAGAATAACTAAAGTTATACTAATACAACTACTGAAGTTACAGCCGCTAACACTACTGCTGAAACATTTCAGGCAACTCACTTTTTTTCTGACAAAAATATCAATACTAGGATAATGTACATCAATGAAAGGGTTTCATCACACATCTCAAAGAAAGCCTCTTTTCATCCTACACCAGCTTCTCCATAAAGACAAATACTGTGATCAAAAGTGTCTTATCTTAGACTGACATTTCTGTAGTGTCTGTTTTAGCTCCTTTTTCAAACCTTTTAAGCTAAAATCATCAGTGAACTTTTGTGTGTATTGTTGTGATTACTGTAATCTCCAAAGCATTCTAGTATAATTAGAAATAAATATATAATAGTGTACCAATCTCATATTTGGTGCCAGCAACATTGGCGGTGATAGTGCCTTTCTTCTTTTTGGTGCGCACCTTCCTCTTCCCACTGCTCTGGTAGGAGCCCACAGATGGCACGTTCACGGGGGACGCTCCTTGATCCTCTGGAGGAAGAGACAGCATACAACAACAGTAGATACAGTCACAGCTTGTGCTCCTGACTGGGAGGGGAACAGGAGTTGCTGGAGTATTGTAATATATTTTATCCACATCTGCAGGGGATTTAGTGCTGCTTGTTTATGGGACTAGGGTGTAAATGAATGAGGCGTCTAGTTTGCTGTAGCTGCATTCATCATGATCCTTTTATTATAATCTGTATGTGTGTGTGTGTGTGTGTGCGTGTGTGGCTCTATGCAGGAGAGAATAGTACTGATGATGGCAGGCAGGTACATATATAAGCAGGTGGCCAGGTGTGTGTGTGTACAAAAATATGCAAGCCTTAGCCAGCAAACCATCTAACAGGATAATCATGTCATTCCTGAGAGAGCTGGGACCTCTCCTACTCACCTCCTTCATTGGGAGGGGAGGGCATCTCAGGGGCTGGAGGAGTGAAGGGGCAAGCCAAGCTTTCTGCCAGGCTTGGCGGGAGGGCGGGCCTCACAGGGTACTCACAGCACCCTCCAAGGGCTCTCTCACGCTCGCAGTAGTTAGTCTTCCCTGTCTCGGGGTGTATGGACGATGTGGTTCAGGATGGCCCAATGGATCATCTGAGCATCTCCCTGGCGCCTTTCAGCAACATAAAGGGCAGCAGCAGAGCCTGAGTGGGCAGGGGAGTTAGACGGGGGGGTAGCAGTGGTGGGGAAGAGTGGGAAGGCCTCTCAAGGGTCTACACAGCCCCAGCTTATTTACAGCCCCAAGAGGAGGGAGGGAGGGAAGGGATGGACAGAGGGATGGATAGGAATGCCTGTAGAAGAGAAGAAGAGAAAGATCTGTTAGAGCAGCAGAACAGCAGTAGGCTGACTGCCCAGAGGGAGACTCCATTGCAGACTGTGGGTCTATGTATGTGTTCTCACTGGACTGGGGTGCATTGGACATGCTTTTAATGTAACACACACAAGCCTATCACAGGCTACATCAATGTGACACCACGCATGCAAGTTCAGTTAGAACTCTGTGGGGCTCGGACACTGCAGCACTACTAATGAAATCATCTAAAACTGTGTGACGTCCACCTGCTGGACTAATTGCTATTCCAGTGAAATATTAATGTGATTGTCAAGTAAAAGGGTTTGCAGAAGCTCATTGTGTCTGATGTTTGTGCCAGCTGGATTTCATTGTATGGCTGAGAGGTCACTTCATTCAAACAGATGGCATCTTTACAGTGGTTTGTTAAAAGGATGCTTCAGGCTATGGAGTGGTGTGGGAAATTAACACCAGTCATCAGCCAAATTCTGTTATTGTTTGGCCGTGGTCTGAGAGAGTGTGTCTTCAAACCACTTCTGGGGGTAATCAAGCATTGCCGAGATGCCCTGTCACATTTAATTTTTTGCGGGCACAGTGACTCAGTGGCACTGTTGCCTCACAGCAAGAGAGGACTATGGTTGAATCCCTGTTTTCCTTGAGTGGGGTTTGCATCCTTTTGTCACTGTGGGTTCTCATGTCCAGGTGCTCGAGATACCACACATTCTCAAAAGATGAGATGCCCATAGGGTATGAATCTGTGTGACTCCTCACAGCGATGGACTGGCAAACCATGAATGTACATAGAATGATTCCAGCTGCTCTTGATCCTCACAAGTCAAGTAGTGCATGTAGCTACGCAATGATCCATGACCTTCCCCTCGCCCCATTATAAATCTGAAGGGTTGTGAGATGACTAACAGAGATATAAACCACATATTTCTGCAACACATATTTATCTATTTTCTCTCATCTTTTCTCGTGAATTATTGGATAATTTAACCTCTACAAGTTCCCCAAAAAATGGCTAACCTGGTCACAATCCAACAACAAGAAGGCAATGCCACCTTTTCAAGAGCCACATGCTAAAAAGTTCGGAAAGACTGCCTCATAAAGTGTTTAAAAACTCCTGCTATACAATTATGATAGTGTTTGCAGTGCTTTCCATGTGAAGGCAAATAATAACTGTTGCATATTTTTCTTCCTTTGGTTGAAAATTTAAAAAAAAAATCACCAATCCCAATCAAGATGTCATGATTTTGCAAAAGAAAAAATAGCCACTGTCAAAGGTGTGGCTAAAAAACATGCAGGGTATCAGTCCATTTAGTATAGAAACAGATGTAACTGCACTATGAATTATAGGTGATATACACCAGTTAAGCTACATCTACAGCACACTGGCATATGGTGCCTCCTCTGCATTTCATACAGAGATCAACAGTAGCCTCTTGTGGTGAGAATATACTGAAAAGCCCATTTCCTATCTACCAATGTTTACTGTCCATACACACACACACTGATATACTTGTAGGTGCACATGTACACATATACACATCAGAAGATATGTTAACGCACTGACTTGAAAAGCAACCCCCGTCAATTCGATCAGCATCCTCTGCACAAATTAGAAATCGGGAACCGATCCAATCACATTATTCGATCACTCAGTAGTCTTTACTGTCAGTCTCTTGGCCTGCCTGTGGTAAGCGCAAGACATTGATCCTGGAGAGGGCCAAGACTGAAATGAGATCAGCACAGAGGGGGAGAGAAACAACAAAGAGTCAGGGTGATAAAGTGAGGCAAGCTGTGTTGTCGACAACCTGCCCCCACCTCCCAGTGGTTTACTGGCTCTCTGTACAGGAGGCAGGAAACACTGTCTCTATAGGAGCACTGGACCTTAGTGTCATATAATCCCTCAGGAACAAGGGGAGGAGGGGGGGTCTGGCAGGGACATATTATGCAACTAACCACTTACAAACACACACATACGATTAGAACATACATGAATACTCTGCATACAAGTAATCTCTGAAAAATACACACAACCCTCACACAATGGCTGTGATGTTAATCCTAATTATTCTACAAAGTATTGCAAGATTAAGACTCTTCATAATTTGAGCAACAATTATTTTATCCTCTTTTTGTGTTTAATCAACATTTTCTATCAGCGTTGTCAGCTACAGTAGACATAATAAATTACACATTTTTTAGTATTTGTATTTATATTAATATTAAAATTATTAGTCGTGCTCATTGTTTTGGAGGTGCTATTATTTTTTAAGCTCAGACTCAATATTGTTAAATCATGCAACCACAATAACTGAAAGAGAGGGACTTTCACAAATAGATACTAGATTTTAAATGATGATGCGATTACATTTCTTTCCTTACGCTTCTCAGAGTAAAATGTCAACACAGATTTCAATCTAGGCTTGTTTGCCTGACTACCATATAAGGTCACAGTTGAGGCACTTTGGTAACGCACTGATGGATAATACAGCAAAGAGAGGCACCGTCGTGTTTTGCTCATTTGTCTTAGCGGTAGCGGCGGTTATCAGCTGCAAGGCGGCCTAGTTTTACTTGCATTCACACGGCGGTAGAAGTGGGATTGCAGTGTAAGTGGATGCCAGATTAGAGTCACTGTTATCACTGACTGGTAGAGGGACTCAAGCAAGACATCCTGTTGTGACGTCACAGGTTTGAGTTTTGCTCATTGACTGTTGTCACAAGCCATACCTGTCCTATCTCTGCATAATAGAATAGAAAAGACACAATATACAAATAAAGACAGTATGGAAAATGTATGCTTAATATGAAAAATAAGGTATTTTATGACACTCCGTGTCCCTGTCATTTCTATCAACCTTCTCGTTACTTTTCTTAAGATTGTTGGACATACAACATGAGAACATCGACAAAATGGGGTTCAGGATTTGAAAGAATTACTTAATATATTTTACTGCGAGCATCACTGCAATTAATCCTTCAGTGAAGTATTAAATCTTCACTAAATCCCTTCCACTAAGTAGAGTATGTACTGTTAATCCAGTGATGCAGTGACACTTTTTCTCCAATAGAGTGAGCCAGAGGGCCGCCACAGCACAGCAGAAGCAAGCAGAGCTGAAAAGGCAGAGCCCCTATGGATGCTGATCTCATGCACTTCCCCTTTGCCTCACACAGCACAGAAAGGCCTCATTGTAGAGAGTCAGCTCTTCATGCTGCTCATCTGCATGACTCTCTGGCTAACAGGGCCTAAATGCATGACAAAAGCATGTCTGTCTTTCACGGTGTCATTATGCAGAATTTTCCCCTCATTATCCAACACGTGTTGTTAATGTGTTTGACATTAATGTACACCATGGTTCTCGCTCTCAGGAATACAGATATATATATATATTGTCTTCAGCATTTGGACTCAACACAAGTACAGGAAGTAAAGTTATGTCTACTTCAAAACCCTAAGAACTTCACCTTCACAGTGACATTATCTCAATATCACATTCACTTCAAAAACACGGCACTCCCTTTTACATCAAGAGCAAATCCAAAAGGACAGCACCAACAGCTTTACAAGAAGTGTGCCAAAGGAAAAGCTGAACCAAAGCACTAGACTGTTTATTCATGACAAGCGGTGTCACACTTATTACACAAGTCCCTTCAACAACCAGCAGTGCTTCCCCAGAGGGTTTGTTTTATGTTCTCCCCGCCTTACATGAAACTACAGAAAGCAGCCGTCAAATAACGAATCAATAGAGAGGCTTGGGGAAACACCACTTAGCCTTATGTCAGCAGGATTTGCAGACACAAGTTCTTTTCTGTACATGCAGCATGCCCTGGTCCTGCCATTACAGCAGTGCAGGGACCTCGGGGTATGTATAACTATACAAAAGGGCAGAGATGCTGGCTTGAAGAATGGAGACATGCTGTACTATTGCACATCCTGAACTGAAAAGCAAATGTAAACAAAATAAGTAAAACACGGGCCTTTTGGCAAAAGAATAGTGTAAAGCCTTTTCACTGGACATTTTCCTCACACTTAATGCCCAACGCCAGTGTGATTGTGTGCATCTTCAGGTCTAAAAAATAAAGTATGCTTGCAAGATCTCTTTTGTAAAAACTATTTATATCATCTATTTGGCTGCTACCACCACATTGTCCTCCCAGGGAAAAATGATAGCTGAGTTTGCGGACTACTCTCACAGGGAAGTAGTTGGTTTAGAATTGCCAGTGGATCTAAAATTAGCTTGAACCAGTGACCCAACTCTGGCTCCATGCCTTCTTCCAGATATGAGGAGGAACAAGTGTGGGAGCTGTCAGCCCACGGGGTACTGAAATACAACAACAAACAGCTGAATGCTAAGCTTAAGTTTATCAGAGAAAATCTACAGTGATGCAGGCAAAATAGAAATGCTATTAAACATTGATATTAACTACAGTCTTGCCTGACCTTATTTTCTAAATAGGGTACGATTGCGACAATGTGCACACAAGTGTTTGTTTAAAAGCACTGCATTTTTGTAGCAAAGCTTTACATGTACGCAGGTGTATCATCACCTCATGAATATGGTTTCAACTGTTAAACACTTTGCTTTAAATTTATACCTTATCTTTTCCGATTATTGCCAGATGAAACTTGGTTTTACTAAGTGGTCTAAGGAAAACCTAGCAAGGGTCTGTGGATACGAGAGAACTCGAAGACACAACAAAGGGAAGGCCCCTGTCAGGCAGGGTCTACAAGATGAATTAATTAACTGGAAAACAAAGCAGCTGATGACATAGACAACATGTGGACTGTTGTGCATATGGTATGCAATTTATAAATGAAAGCCTGCATCATGTCAGATTGCTTAGATAGGCTATACATGCAGTGCTGCAAATAAATATCCTGCATTAATCCAAAAACCTAAGGATGCCAACATGATCATAAAAGATTACACGTATCATATCCATCTTAATAGCCTAATCTCTGGGATAAGCCCAGAAGGCAGGGTGCCATCCAGAACTCATATGTTATGCTGTTACTATTATGTAATCCATCTGCTCTTTCAGGAATGGTCATCTCCAGGGTGCTCTATCAGCATGTGGTCTCTAAGTGGCACACTGGACTACAAACAGACTGCACTGAACCAAATGGCTATTTAAAACAACACATGCCCAGCTTTGAGCATCCAAAACTAGTCTTGCATGCAAAGACACATTTCTTTAAAGTGCATGCAAAGCTAGCCTGAGCTAAGAGGCTAAGCTACTGAGAGCAGCAGCGAGGGGACCTGTGCTTGTCACAGCATAGCAGTCGATATGGTATCTTCCACATCACTGAAAGGATAGTGGGCCATCCCCTTTAACAGATCTTGCCTGTATTTCAGGATTAGCGCAAACTGGATTTCTTAAACCTCGCGTGCAATATCTTGGATAATTCAGATAATTGGTTGAGCTAACAAATTAAATGTGACAAAGCCTAAGCAGGTGTATTATTGCTGTGAATAAGTTGCTAGCAAACGGTGGCTAACGTTATGTTGCTAGCCACTTGTATAGGTCAGGTGGAAGGATCACACAAGGAAGCAATCTGGCAATGTTGCTATCCAGTTAATGTAGCAACGCTAATGTTTAACTGCTCTGTGAATGAAGGCCTTTTCATTTAATGGCTTCAAACTGAAAAATAAGACGCCGTCTGATAATTCAGATAAAACACAATGACCCTGGGCTACTCTACAGTTAGCGCTACCTAGCAAAGGATGGAGAGGCGAAGTAGCCCGTTAACGTTACCTTATTTATTCCAGGCACTGGCAGTGCAGCTCTTTTGCTGGTCTCATCCGACCGACACAGCCGCCGTTAAGTGACACACCAGGGTCTCTTTAGAGAGCCCGTCCAGTCCCGAGATAATGTTTAACACTATAATGGTGTTTATGTTGTGTAACGGCGTTACTACTGTAAACTGACGTTGGTTGACAGACAAAAAAAAATCTGTATCTTGTAGTCCTCTTGTGTGCTGTGAGTGCTGGAGCGAGTCCATGGGCTAAACCATTCTCCCTGTGAGAGAGGGGGGGCCTGTATGAAGTGCTGAAGTTTGCATTCTCAACCTGGTGCCAGCGTGACGTTTGGTGACTGTATGGCGTACATGTTAAGTCAGCACATATTGTTTTCAATTCTTAACAAGCCGTGAGTAACAATAAAAATCTTGCCAAAGCTGCGAGTTTCACTTCCTACACCTTTTAGGTCATGATTTAAGGGAGGGTTCGGTGCAGCTGCTTCCTCCACAACTCGCGGATACAAACACAGGGAAGCTACCTAGCAACTGTGGCGCTGACCATGGTGCTAAAAACAACCCTGCCGATTTATGGGCGCGTCCCGCTCAGAGGTCATTAACGTGTCATTCAGAAATAACGTGGAAATATTCCTCTAAATCTGCCAGACTCTTGCTTTCTTATTCATAGTGTGTGATTTATGTATAGCTTATGCCAAATGGAGATTTCAGTCAACTAAAAACTAAAATCAAGGCCTTAAATCAGTTCACAACACTATTATATATTTTTGTTTTTACTTTAATAACTTAAAATTTAATGCATATTTTTCCTTCCTTAGCATTTGTCTCCATTTTATGATTAGTCCTTTGACAACATCACTGTTTTGCAATCAAAGGCATCCCCTTAGATCACAACACTTTTCACTTGTCTCACTAACTTGTTTCTTGTTAGTTACTTACTTTACTTGAGCAGTTCATTCATAGTCTACTGACTTTTTTCAACACCTAAACAATGAAGTCCTCAAGTCGGCAAAAAGACACTTGTGAACCACTGGCTTTTGATGCAAAGTGTGAACCACACTAGAGGTGACACAGTGCCACTCAAGTGTGTGTCATTGTTAAAATCATGTATTGTTGTGTAACACTCTTGATCATTGTAGGGTAAGTAATTCTGGGGTCTTGTGCCCCCTTTGAGGTCAGAGGTCAGCTACAAAACACCCCAGGGAGGTCAAGGCAGGAATGCAACGTTTTCTAAGGAATGTTTGCTAATGTGAACTTCAAACTCAGTTGTTGGGTTGAGGTGAAACTGCTGGATTTAACATTATAAATTCAATATATTTCACATAAAAGTGAAAGGATTAGAAGAAAGAAGGAGTGTACGGTAGCCTATCTACGCCTCATAGATGTGTTGTAACAGTTTGTCTGCTATAGTTTACAGTAGATTGTGTGTGCAACAATAATTAACAGTCCAGCCTTGTGAGCCACCATATCATCTGCAGGTGTAATGCAATTTATATAAAACAATTAATGCTCAAAAGGCAAGGCCAGATTAAAAATTAGAGCTTTTGTTTTTCATTTGTATTACAAAGGCAGTCACGTCTTCAGTTAGCCTTTGTGCACTCAAATAAGATGAGACTGTATTAGCATTTTACCTCAAACTGAGACGTCTATGATCGCAAAGTTCCCAGTGATAACTTATGTGTCTCATCAAAAGGACTCAGGTTTTTCGTGTCCTCAAATTCACCCACAGAACTGGCTGTGGTCAAAAATTTGCATGTGTTATTCCAAAACAAAAAGCTTGACTTCGAAAGGTAATATCACTTCCAATGTCTACAAAGTTGTTTGCAACTGTTCTGTCAAAAATACTGTATACCTAGCTCTCGGTAAATACAAAAAACATAATTCAGGCTAGCAAAATCAAATATTCTCATCACTTCATTTTGTGATTCAAATTCTTAAGTGTTATAATTGCCTGTGTAGTTCAATTGTGGTAAATACTATTTTGGCCTATCTGCTATATTAATACTCATGAACGAAGTCCATAACTTTATTATTGATGGTGTTTTGAACAAGTTTTTGCTACGTTTATTCATGGCCTGTCTGAAAACATTCATAATAAATGAACATAATGGATCACCAAATAACGTGAAAAATATTGTGAAAATCAAGATTACCTTGTATTTTGTGCCTCTTTAATGGCTACCATGTATTGTTACAAGGTTATACACCTTTTACAGCTATTGTCTTAATGTGTCAGATGTCAATTTTTTTTCCTTCTTTTTTTGTAATGATGTAATTCATTTTTTTTTAAATGAAATTTTCTCATCACTAAGCACCATTACTGAATGAATACCCATGTTGATAAAATTGCCTGAAGTAAGATTGGTGTGAGTGTAGGCTACCTTTGGACTCATAGGTGTTGTCTTATGAAGATTGGGGGTCATGGGGTCACCACCAAAACAATAATGAAAATAAAATAATAGAAATAAAATGATAATAATAATTTTGAAAAAAGCAAAATAGGTGCGCTATTATCATTATTATTATTATTATGTTATTATTATTATTTTTATTATAATTATCAATAATAGTTGTGCTGAAATTACTATCATTACTATTATTAGTAGTAGTAGTATTAGTATTAGTATTATTATTGCTAAAGTGGTGGAATCTATTTAGTAAATAATTTCTTAATATGATTCATACGAATATTACAAACGTATTCTTAAACGTTTACATAATACATCAAATAAATGTGATGATGTATGAGTTACTCCGATTTCCGACCCGCTGTGAAAGCAGCATTTCACCCATCAAGTCAGTTCTGTGGGTATTCCCATATGACGTGAACGCAGCACAAAACGACAGCAGGCAGAGGTGAAAAGTCTGGATCATGTTTTCATTCCAGCGGAGGCATACTTGAACGACAAAGGACACTGTAAATAAAGATCAACAGGGCGGTTTGCAGAGCACGTCGAGGTTCTGTCCACAACGAGAAGACATTGATGTTGTTGTTAGCCAACCAGCTAGCACAAGCTGAAATTTGTTAGCTAGCTAACGGAAGACCCTGTTAGCTAACCGCCACCATCATCGCTCCTCGCCAGCTGTGCATCGCCCTGTCTTCCTACGATGGGAAACGCAGCAACTGCCAAGAAAGGCAATGAGCAAGAAAGCGGTGAGTACCTGAAAACCACCCAGCTAACCTGTTAGCCGTTTAACGTTAGCTATTGTACAGCGTGAGCTCGCTTGTCATAATAAAGTCAGGGGAGAGCAGCCTTTAGCAGTTGCTGTCCAGTGTTAGCAGACTGTACAGTAACATGGGTTGCAGAGAAGAACCATCTTTGGTAGAGCAGTTTACAAGGTGCGTTAGCTCCCTCGTTATGCTTTCTGTTTGCTTATCTCACTTGGAAACAGTGCCACAGATGATGCAGCTAGCTAATTATTGTAAATGACATTTGGGCAGATGACAGTGGGGTCCTCACCATTTCCTGTTTGAGCTTTCCCACAGTAATACATGCAAAGACAGATCCTTGACCCACCAAATGAGAGATTGTCTTATTGTTCAAGCTCTAATGTGTGACATAGTTATCAAGGCACCGTGTTTAATATCCAGAGAGCTAATATGAGCTGCCTGGAGCCAGATAACATCAGCAAACACTGGTTCCCACTAAAGCTGCAGCTCAAGGCCTAGTCACTGCCAACAACAGGTACCTGATAACGACTAACAGACAAGTTGACCAGATGGCTGCTTGATGTGGTTAAACCAGGCTAATGATGGTAATAAACAAGTGTTGTTGCTGTGTTTTCCAAACAAGGGCTGCACAATGCCCTAGCAGTATTTCCTAACACTGATGTGTCCAAGTCAGCTGTCAACAAGTTAACTGTAAATCAAAATGTTGTGTCTTGATCCCTGCTTTCTTACAGTGGCATCGACCTGTTGTGTTGATGCTATAACAGCTTCAATCCTTGTCAAGGTGCATCTGTTGAATAGCAATTTTGCAATCTGAAGAGCTCCATCAATCACTTGAAAGCCAGGGGGCACTCGGTTGTGTTTACTGTGCATTTGTCAGTAGTGACCATAGACTGTGTAAAGGTAACGGCCAAGCTAATCCACTAAACTGTCTGTCTGGAGAGCACTGATCTTGACCTGCTTTCTGATTGGCAGCAGTCCATACAGTCTCACAGCCTTTTTACTCAAGCCACCTGTAGTTTTCTGAAAGGAGGGGGTGAGAGTTGTGTACAATAATATTGTGATTGAAACAGCAATCTACAGAAATACATTGTTGATGTTAATTAAATGTCTTTTTGCATTTTAAGTATTTGACTACCCAGAGGAGCCCAAACTGTTGTAAGTCTAAAAAAAAAACAAGCATTTTTAGAAAAATATGCAGCATGAGGCCTAGTTCGTTAGGGCAACTTTAAGCATAGGGGAAGTCTTGATGAACTGCATTGTTAAACTTTACCACCAGAGAGCACGATAACGTGGAGATAACTTCTCTCTAAGTCAGTCAGTGGGTGGTACAGGCTTACAGTTCTCTTATCAGCACTCTGAATGCTTCACAGCTATGCAATGTTTTTGTCATATCCTTAAGAGGCAGGCCTTTTTGTGTGCTCTGCTTACTGCGCATAACTTTGGTGAAGACAACGTCCCCATTTGCATTGGAGACCATCAAGTGTTTTCTACACCTCATAGAAAAAGTAGACACGCAGTTGGCCACTGGAACTGCAGCAGAGTACTTAAACAGGAAGCTCAACTTCATGTGGTTAGCCAAGCATTGCAGTGCTCTTGGCTGCATACAGGAAGTTCATATCACTCATTGGTCTTCAGTCTGAAAAACAGTTACTCTGCCACTGAGCCTTTGCTACTCACAAACCAAGACGTTTGTCTCAAAATGGCCCAGGGAAAGGACCAATCCTTCGCCAGCCGTCTTTTCCATAGATGTCGTAAGAGTAGCCAAGAGCAGAGAGGACAGGAGAGTGAGGTGCCTCAAATCTCTGAGTTCACCATCATGTGGGATAAGTTCAGTAAGTGCAGTTTGTTGCTTTCACACGTTATAAGTGTCCACCACCATCTACAGCTCTGATTGGGACTCTCTTTTTTTGTAATTTTTGTAACCTTGTAATGGTGTGCGTTTCAGCCAGATCTCCCTTGACACAAAAGATTTTAATCTAAAGGGACTTCCTGTTCGGGAAATAAAAAAATAAAATAAGGCGAGTTCCCGCTTGCATTTGTAGATGAAGTAAAAATAAATAATTAAAA